AAGATCGCTCATTTTTGTGCGTCCGGTTTTCAGCCAGTGGGAGTGAGTTCCACTTCACGGGTTAATCATATTGACGGTATAGTTCGATTCGTTTTACGCGGACTGGTAATTGCTGGCTGATGAATTCTCAGTCGATACCCAACTTTAGCTCTGCTTACGTCTCTATTACCTTTGTTACAGAAGAAGCACGGATACTGTGGTGTTGGCTGGCGATCTAAATGCCCATGTAAGAAAAGTGTCCTCTGATGAGCTTAAGCTAAGCGTTCAACATGGTGTAGGCTCCCGTAATGATAATGGCGAGCGATTGCTACAGCTGTGTGAGGATGCTCGCCTCTTTCTCGTGAGTACTAACTTTCGACACAGCACCCGCGGAAGCGTGACTTGACGGCCACAAGCCTCGGGCCAGCATTGGAGGAAAATCCATCATATCGCGATCAGTTACCGCTGGAGACGCTGTGTCTAAAACTGTTGCTCGATTTGGAGCGCGAGCGTAGAATCTGACCGCGCACTTGACTGCACTGACCTCCGGATGCGTTTCGGTGGACGTCCGCAACATCGATGTGGACGGATTGACAACAGTCAGTTGGCGAAGCCAGATGTCCTGAATGTGTGTCAAAGTGCGCTGACATCTGGGTTGAGTAAGCGCCCACTAAACACTGTCGAAGATCAATGGTCGCATTTTCGTAAAACGTTACTGTTACCAGGCATGTCTTCATGTGGAAAAGCAAATTTCCAAACCGGACATTGGGTCTCTACATAGTCTCTGGAACTTACGGATGCTCGCCGACGTATTCTGGCTGAAAGCGAATACAATGACGTTCGCAAAAACCTCAGGGCAAAACTACGTTCTAGCCTGAAGAAGGACCGCGAAACCTGGTGGTCTCATCGTGCCTCTGAGATGAAAACAGCCGCTGCCGTTGGTAATCATCGTAAGTTATTCCGTCTGATTCGGGAAACAGGCAGCAGGAGACCTGGTGTTAGCGAGACCATACGCGACGAGAGTGGGCAGCCGATCCACAGCTTGTCAAAAGGTTTGGAGCGTTGGGCTGAACACTTTGCAAGGCAGTTTAACCAATCTGAGTTATCGCTTTCTTCTTCGGGCATTGAGCGCCCTTTTCCTTGTGCCGTCTCCTCGGATCCGCCCTCACGCGCAGAAGTCGAATGTGAGATCAGGCTGTTGAAATTGCATAAGGCCGCAGTGGCAGACAGAATTCCTTTAGGCCTCTTCAAATTCGGGGGATCTGCTCTAATACATGGTTTACACGAGTTGCTAGTGAAACTTTGGGAGCAGGAGACAGTCCCGACAGACTGGAACCGCTCCGTCATTGTCCCAATTCCCAAGAGAAACTCCCGTTTGGAATGCGGCAATCATAGAGGGATCAGTCTGATTTCGATTGCTTCTAAACTGCTTGCCTCTGTCATTCTCCACAGACTGACTGGCACTCGTGAAAGCCAGATTCGTGAAGAGCAGGCCGGATTTCGTCGAGGTCGAGGCCGCATCGACCACATCTTCACCTTGCGTCAATTGTTGGAGCACCGCCATGTTTATTGGAAACCTACCGTTGTCGTGTTTCTTGACATAAAAGGTGCCTTCGACTCAGTCGATTGATGTGCCCTTTGGGACTGTCTGCTGAGGAAAGGTGTGCCAGATAAATATGTAAACATTATCAAAGCACTGTACGCGCATAGTTCGGGCAGAGGGAGGATTTATGGCAAACTGTTGCCACCTTTTAGTATCACCAGAGGTGTGAGACAAGGTTGCCCGCTGTCACCTTTCCTCTTTAACTTCGCTACTGGTGAAGGCATGGAAACAGCGTTCGCTGGACACAACCTAGAAGGTGTGGAGCTACTTCTTGGTGAGCGACTTCATGACTTGAAGTATGCGGACGATATTGTCCTAATTTGTGACAGCGCCCGATTAGCACTGGCTGTCAATCGTTTTGGGCTATGCTTTGCTCCATCTAAATGCAAAGTACCTCTCCAAGATTGGCAGGGACTCAACATTGCGCTAACGCTTGGTGGTGATCTGTTAGAAGTCGTTCAGGAATTCAAGTACCTGGGCAGCTATATTAGCACCCGTGGGATTGAAGATGAGGTTACGAACCGTATAGTAAAAGCTCGAGGTGCTTTTACTAATTTCCGCCACCTGTGGCGCAGACGAGACATTTCTCAACCCCGAAGGGTAGAGTTTATAACGCAGCCGTCCGTTCAACTCTCCTATATGGCTGTGAAACCAGGCCCATCAGGTCGACAGACATAAAGAGGCAAGTCGTATTCGATCATCGCTGCCTTCGCAGCTTAGCTCATGTCTGGTGGGAGCACCGCATGAGCAATGAGCGTGTTCGGCGTCGCGCATTTGGGGCAGGAAGAGCGAGTGAACCGCTCAGCACCATTATATCACGCACCAAGCTTCGATGGCTGGGCCACGTGTTACGCATGCCAGCACACCGACTTCCGCAACGTGCATTGTTTGCGCGCCGGGGGTGTGGATGGAAGAAGAGGAGGAGTGGCCAAGCGATGACTTGGTCGAGAGAGATGAAAATCCTCACTTCGAAGTTGGCGTCGGTCGGTGCATGCCGACTGCCTGGCTGGGGTCCTAAGGACGGTGAACACGTTTGGTTGGACACACTTGCTGATATGGTTTGGAGCCGGCCCCAATGGCGTTTATGTTGTGATTTCCTTTGTCCATCCTCCTCCTGCTTAGCATCCCTTCCAATCACGATCTCACTCGTTAGGCATAATATGACTCTCTTTTCGCGGCACGATAGCCAGCTGTTAGCTCTGCGGAACGATGTCCTTCTGTTACCGGGGACTCAGTCGGCGTGCCACTGTTTGTTTTCCTTTTCTTATAGTTGTATTGCGGCACAATAGCTGAGGTGTTTTCCACCTGCAACTAACGTGTAAAAAGAGGATGATGATGATCATGCATCTCATGGTGACCTAAGCAAAGACGACGATATCCATGGTAAATTGGAGTGTGATTCCAGATGGCCAACAGCAATGGTCTGTGTTGACACGAACGATCAGGCGTGGTGAGATGAGAAGAATAACAACACGCAATAAGCACGTCTAAGAAAAAGGGCACATATCTTCTCTCCGAACGATAAGGTAGACAGGTTTACGAAAATTGGCTTAAAACCAGCATATTCCCAGTGGTACAGAACATAACGACAACAAAATAGAAGTGCATATAATCAGAAGCAGAGGAAGGGGGATACATCGTCGCAATTTATGGCGTGCTGTACCATCCAGAATACAGGAAGTGGCAAGCACCACAGATTGCAACATCCCGCAATCCATGAACCTTGACGAAGCATGGAATTTACTACGCTCGAAGCTGCTGTTGCTCATCGGAAAACTCGTTATTATCATCAAGGGCAGACCTTTACCCAAAGGTCCCCTTGGACCGACCGAGAGGTGAGATCCCTGATAAACAGACGAAGCAAACTGTGGGACATATTCTAGTCAACACACGTAACATCACGTCAATTGAAATACAAGAATATTAGAAACCTGTGCACCCTAAAAAGCGTCAGAAAGGAGCACAATACGAACACCCCCTGGTCATGCAATCATGAACCTGCCCGAAGAAGCTGTTCTCAAACCTGAAGTGAAATACCAAGGCGGGTAGTGGTATTCCTGCTTTATCCTGTCAGGATGAAGACATGGTGATTTAGGAAGATAACGACAAGTCTCAACTAGTACTCCTCCATCTATTCCGTGGAACCGTCATCACGCAATGACGATCTGACAAAGCATTATCCTCCTCCCGAGCAAGTCGAAATCAATCACGAGACAGTCAAGACTCCTCCACGAACTGAACCCTAACTCCGTACCGGCTCGCGATGAACTTTAGACGCTATGTCTCAAGATGACAGCAACGTAGATTGCTGATCCAGTACACAAAGTTTTCCGGCACCTTCCTGCAGCTCTTCAAGCCGACTTCATAGTCTATGCTGATAATCTCAAGTTATAGTCAGAAGAAGCTAGTCTTGAAGAAGCGGACAGACGCCAAACGGCGCTAGACCAGCTGCACGACTGGTCCATCAAGTGACAACTACCCGTAAATCGCGACAAATGTGCTGTTACCCTGACTGGTAACCCGGATTCATTCGGTGTATCTCACATTAGCGGATATCTCAGGGATGTCATGTATGAAAAGGATCTGAGGAATATCGTGCCACATGACCTTTTAACGTCCCAAGACAACTTGAGAAAGGTCGCGGCCGCAAACAGGATGCTGGGTACTCTACGCAGGACGTCCTTCCGTATCACTCAGGCAATTGTCAGAAGTATGTTCACATCACATGTTCGCCCGATATTGGAGTATAAACTTCCGGTTACCTAGCCTCACTAGAAATCTGAATGCAACTTGCTAATAAAGGTTCAGAGGCGTGGCTCAAAATCCGTCATGAAGCTTCGAGATCTTGCTTACCCTCTTCGACTCCGAAAGTTGAACTTATTCCCCATGGATTATGGTCAGTGCCGTGGGGATCTTATCTACACTCGACGGATCCTGACAGGCGAAGCTAAGGGTAAGGTACAAAAGCACTTTCGGTTCAAAGTGGACAGCTCGACACGAGGCCACAAGTGGAAGTTGTACAATGGCCAAATAGTTCACGTCGGTCCAGAGGCTGCCCTATCAATTCGTGTAGTGAATGACTGAAACAGCTTACCGGAGGTCATTACTGACGCCCCGACAGAGGAAAGTTTTAAACGGCTACTTGATTGCCATCTGATGTGTAGGGCAGTGTTCTGCTGCTCCTGCTGCAACAGTGACGATCCCCAGAGCAATGCCGCTTCGCAGCCAGCTGCATTAAACCTGTACTGAATCAGAATCGAAAGAGCTGACAAGGGTCTTCCTGCTCTATACACACTAATGAACCGATGAACGGACAATAATAGTAAGACTAGCGGCCCAACATAGTGCTTCATCAAATGATTTCCTAAGAAAAACATAAAGCGTAGAAGGAATGCACGGAACTAGCTTAGATGCTTACTCCTGGACGAAGAGAGGCAAGTCCGGTCATGTGGATATCCAGTTTGTCAAAAACCAGCAATACCGATCCTCGGTGTTCCGAGCCCTTCAGGATAGGAACTTTAAGCTCACATTCTGAAACTACAGCGATTACAGTCTTGTAAAAACTCACGTATACCGTTGTATTCTTCCAACAAGTGCTGTAAATCGATAGTTCCAAGAGCAACAAGGACGTCAGGCCGATAGTTGAAGTGATTGAATACTTTTACTCGTATTTTCGATGTCGGACGCACAACAACACAAGCGGTTTTATTCCAGGTTGGATTCCATGTTTTCGGACAAGTATTGGTTCTGAAGGCCGGTACATTATCAACTAAAACCTCGACATAGAGATCTCCATTCTTGTTGAAAACCCCCTTAGAATTTAAAAGAAAAGCAGCATGTTTAACTAAACCTAGTTAATATAAGACACAACAAACCTGTAACTGACAGTTGGAACAGTTGTTTCTGAACCAATGCATCGGAGCAGGACATCCAACGTACCAGGGACTATTCATAGACCAGAACAAGTCGCCTCAGGTCAAGTTCAAGTTCGGTTGGGACTGGAACGACAAGAGAATCCCGTAAGTGTTCCATCTTGAGTGGATCGTCGAGCCATGAATTGATGAATTGCACAGAGTTATTGATGGATCTAAAACGGAACACCGTATCGCACCCTGGCCAACCAGTTATTGCCCAAGTTTCTTGCCCTATCAGTCCTTGCTGAGGCAGTCACATGAAGTAAGCAAAGGATATGAAGAGAAATCGAAGGTACGGAATAAGAAAGTTCACTTGAAATAAGAAAATAATACCGAGGCATGAAGTACGGAAAACAAAATCAAAGTATGAAGATGCGAGTCAGTCAAGAAAATGAAAAGGTTTCGTGTAGCCACCCAAGAGCGTCAAGTAGTCACTCAAACCCCTTAACCGTAGATTCCCTGATAACACTTTCCGGAAGCATGTTCCAACGCTCGATGACTCTGCGTGACAGCCGGATTTCCGTCCTAATCCGATCGGACCGCGATATGTCTAGCTTCAAGGGATGACCGCGTAGAACAGACAATCTAGTGGGAGTGAATAGGTCAGATAAATCTGGACCAACCTTCCCAGGTAATATCCTAACCTTGTAGGTTAGGATGAGGTGGCCGCTAAGGCTTCGGTAGCGCATTGAATGCATTCCCAAACTAAATAGAAGCCCGGGGTATGTATGTCCGCGCAATCCCTCAAATGACCTCGTACCCACCCATAATACCCTCTTTAGCTGCATTTTGTCCCGGACGAGGCAGGGCGGACAAGCCTGGACGCAGTATTTCAGATGAGGCCGAACGAAACTTTGAGCCTCCGTGATTTGAATATTTTCCATCGGTGGCCTCTAGTCGAACTCCCCAAGTTGAGGTGGAAGAATTCATGCAACTCTCTCCTTAGCTCTCCCTTGAGGATACGACGGTTAAAAATCATATCCTCGCGCCAGCGACGGTAATCCATAGAAAAGATATTCAAATGTCGAAGCCGAAGGGGATACGGCAGGTCACGCAACTCGGAGATAAACTTTGATTCACGCCGTTGGACCTTTTCAATCATGTCGCGCGCAAATATGGAAAGCGTGTAGGCAGCAGGGAGGCTGTATTCTAGAACCGGGTGCACATGCGAGGTGAACAGGAGTCTAAAAAGCTCCAGTGTCAGGCGACAGAAAGCTCTTCGGATGGCGTGAAACATCCCGTAGGCAGCGGCAGCCCACTTCATTGTGTCCTGAATGGATCTTAAGTCCGGGGAAACAATCGCGTTTAGATCTCTTTCTGAAGTGACATTTTTGAGCAAGAAACCACCTATGTGGTAAGCGCCGAATGGTGCAGGAGCGCCGATAGGCAGGACGGAACATGTGTCTTGATTAATAGGTAAGCATCACTGAATCGACCAATTGTGCAGAAGATCGAGCGTCTCTTGTAGTCGATCAGCATCCTCTAGAGAAGATACCTTCCATATCCTTAGATTATCCGCATAAATCAAGCAATCCGATTGAAGCTCAGGTGGTAGATCGTTGATGAATATGTTGAAGAGTTCGGGGCCGAGGACGGAGCCCTGTAGGACGCCGCTGGTCATATGTACCGGATCGGAATACGCTTCGTTCACTCTCACTAGCATGGAACGACTGTGAAGGAAATCGGAAATCCACGACAGAAAGTTCCCAGCGACAGCGATTCCTCGAAGTTTGAAGAAACTGTTCATGCGGGTCCTTATCAAAAGTCATACTGAAATCCACGAACACAACATCCAGGAGCTTGCCAACATCCAATTAATTTGCTCATTGTTCTCTAGCCATAAGCAAGTTGGTAGAGCAGGAGCGAGCTTTCCGAAAACTGTGCTGGGCCCCGGATATCAGATCCAACCTCTCGAGATGAAGTCGAAGTGCCCGTTTCAGGACCCGTTCCATGATTTTGCACACTATCGATGTAAGGCAAATGGGCCGGTAGCTGGCTGGGTCTTGCCGGTTCCCTCATTTGTATATGGGCTTGATGATACCCATCTTCTAAGCGGTCGAGAGAAGTCCGGACTGAAACGATCGGCGGAAGACCTGCGAGATAAGTGAAGCAATGTACTGGGCCACAGTCTTGAGGAACAAGGGATGCAAGTCGTCAGGACCAGGCGATGAGTAGAGACCCAACTCACAAAGAAGTTCCAACATGACGACAGTGTTAATATCGACGTGCTCTAACAGAGAAGGGGGAGTGCACACAGGTCTGTCAGAGAACGACACTGTTGTCGAGTACACTGAAGAATATTGCCGCGCCAGGAGGCTGGCTTTGTCGTTGTCTTCGTGAACTGGATCCCCATGCTCGAAGGAACACAGGGCAGGGATACCATTGCCCGCTTTGGTGCTCCGTCTGAGGTAGAAAAGCGTCTTAAGAGTCTTTCTAGAAAGTGCGGCTACAGAGAGTTCATACTGTTGACGTTTCTCAAGTTTTTTCAGGGTACAGGTATTCCTAACCGATTTGTAACCGAGGTAGTCATGCTCTGATCATGTGATCCGAAAGCGGTTCCACAACTTCCGTCTTCTGTTCATCAGGGATCTCAATTCACGATCGATCCACAGAGGACCTCTGGAGAGCGGTCGCTTATCGGAGATGGGGACAACTTGTTCAATGAGTGACGTCAGGTGGGAGTACAAAGATTCCAGGCACCATCAGCATTGAGATGTTCGTGAATACACCAATCCATAATACCTGCTTCCGTTTTAAGACGAACAGCATCGGCACGCCAGAAATTTCGGCGGATGGCACATGGGTTGTGAATGGTAAAGCGATGAGTCCATGGGAATAAGACAGTAGAATGATCGCCTTTACCGATGGGTTGGAAGACTGTTAGGTCCATGACGTCTCACTGCGCTGGAGAGAGCACAAGATCCAGGATATGAGACTGGCTGGCGAGAATACGAGTCGGCATGGACACATGTTGATACAGGCTGCATTCGAGAACGGTATCGAGGAAAGCTGTATCAAAGGAATCAGGTGGACGACTGCAAAGAAGGAGGTGCCAGTCGATAGTGGGAACATTGAAATCTTGCAGAATAAGGCCATCTTTTCCAGCCCTGTGCTTCCTGAGCATTTCCAACAGGCGAAACTCCAGCGCTCAGTGGCGCTCTGTAGATGACACCAATCAAGGAAGATCTGCATCCGTCAAGAATGCGGCAGCAAAGGGCATCGAACTCGCTGTCATTGCCACATGAGACCACAACTAGATGGGACTTCAGATCCGCCCTCCAATAAAGTATTACGCCGCCTCCCGACTTCCTCCCATGACGACCGGCCCGAGAAAGGTGGCACCCAGAGATAGACACATCAGAGTAAGTGAGATCTGGGGATAACCATGTTTCGGTGGAGGCCATTAAATCAGGACAAACATCTGCGGCAAGCGTCTGTATCTCATCAAGTATATTTCGCAGACTACGAACATTAGTGAACAGCACACGCAGTCCGTTGTTTTGCGTTACTGTCCTGGGGTGACAAAAATCGGCCTCGGTTCTCGGAGTTTTCCGAAGTACGCAAACATATGAAGGTCCGTTTTACCACTCGCCCAAAGGGTCCTCAGCTTAACAGCTTTTTCATTCTGATCCGATCTTCCGGGGAGAGATCTCGCAACACATAAAACGACTTGCTTTTGAGACGTGTGGTCCATAAGATAATGCGCCGACATTCTTCCTCGTCTTAGAATACAACCTTAAGGGGGTGAGTCTTGAGGGAATCTTCTTGTTTCCTACCAAAGCGGAAAGCCAAGATAATGTTGATTCCCTGTTCGTCTTCGTCGAATAACACAGAGATCAGTCGTTCTAGGAACACTTGGTCGTCTAACATCCTTCCGGCTGGGGCGTGTTCGGTCGATTCAGGCGCATTCATGATGATGCGACATCGGTCACGAGAGGGTGGTAGGGCACTCCTGGTGGTCTGAGGTTGGGGAGGATTTGCAGTGTCTTTGATCAGCGATTCCAAGCGGTTAATCTTGTCAAGAACAGATTCGAAATGGGACTCAGGGGAGGAAGGCTTGGAATTAGACTCCGACTTAGTCTTAGCGTTATACATGGGCGGGATATGTACACCAGAGCCGATGGTACTTTCCCTTACAACCGCTGCGTATGTGTTTGTCTTGGCCTCACTGTGATGGACGTAAACCAATGGCTAGGAAAAAGAATCAAACGGCCCGCGACTTCCCTTACCTGTGTGGGAGGTGGGTGCGGAGACAGAAGGGGAAGAATGAGGAGAAACCAGGGGGACCTGGCTGTCGGGTGCTTTGGGTTTTGTTTGGATGGGGTAAGGGCTGCCGAGCAGAGCCCATCATCTCATCATCATCAACAGCAGTACATCAGCCATTTGAACTGATGCTTCGCTGCCATACAACCATGAGGACTTATGAAATAAAGAATATACAGAGGGAGAGAAGAGGGACTTACCTGAAAACCTTAATGCCCTAAGCAAACATTCAGGGTCAAGGCGCCTACACCTTGTGTTAACAACATACCGT